ACTCGTAACTCAGATATGCATAGCACCCTGTATAAGTTTGAAGAAAATGGCTCTCAACCAAGGCAATGTATGTATAGGTTAGGTTGGGTTAGGTTAGCACAAAACGTTTTTAAATAATGATGAGAGTTGTATAATAACGCCCACGAATCATCAGATGGCTCAGAGAATAAAAGCTTGACTTGTCATACTTAAATCTTTAGAATTGATACCCGCATATCCATAATTATCCATATATCTATATTTGTGAAAAGTTATTTTAATTTATCACACATTCCTGCGCGCACACTTTAAACCCATGTGAATTGGTATTTGTAAAGCAATACTGGTAAGGAATAGTTGTGACTACGCCTAGCTTGTTCCGTTGTTGGTAGATATAATAAATATATGGATATAATAAATAAAGTAGCCTAGTAGTTTCCTGACCAAACAACGGTTTATAATGCACCCCAATTCCTCGATCGTAGTCGCTGCGACGTTGTTTCGTCTGGATCCAACTAAGAATAACGACGTTGTCGACTGAAGCCTCGCCGAGTACCCTGTGACATTCTAATGCCAGTTATGATTTGAAACTGATCTGTCCAGGGCCCGAACCGCCTGCCTGTGATCTCTAGTATGTCTCGTTGGGGAAATTTATTTTGTGGTAATCTGACAGCTTGGTCTGTAGCGTAAAAAAATATATAGCCAGCCTTGTACATGCGAAAAAGCGTATTTCAAAAAAGCCAAGTTTCAAGGGTGAGCAGTTTTGAAAATAAAACAGTTCATGTAAATGTCGTAAGCTTTTCGGGTCTACGGTATAACTTTTTAATAAATAGTAAATAAGTAAAATTCAGAAAGACCTTTCGCATGCAAAGCCTGCAAAACTTGGGCCTGTGAAATTTCTCCCTCAAGACCACCAGCCAGTACTTTCTTTGTTTTTTTATTGAGTGAATTAAGTCAATGAAAGCAATTCCAGTCACAAAGCCCTTAATACGAACATTCTACAGTTGAGGTGCTGCTGATGGTTATTGCTTTGTTTTAAAAAATACAAATATACAGCTGTACCTAAATCGAAGGTTTACTTCAAAATACGACGAAAATTGATGCACTGATAAGATGTGTTAAGATACATCATGTTTTGCAGAATTTACTACCGGTCATTAACCTTGATGAAGCTCATGTTTTTAGTGAACTACGAAAATGTGACAATTGGGGTCAAAAACGGAGGCGACTGGGTAAAATTTTATGTGGACCTGTTTCGTTGTAAGGCGACACACAACTTCCTCGTTCATACGTCTAATTGTAGAAACTTATAAATAGATACAAAATGTGCAGCGATTTATGTTTAAATGCGCAACAAGACAACGTTGGACGATCGCGCACTTGTTAAATCGTCGAAATAGGCCAGTCATTGATACTACCTAACGATCCTGGAAACCTTCCATCATTTCCCGTCCATCCAACTCCAATTTTTTTTCTTTTGGACGCCACTCAGTTTTTTCAGTTGTTTAGAAATAATAGTAAACTTCCTATAATTCAAACATGCACTAGTCGGAACAGAAAATAATTATTATTATAGTGGCTCTATTCAGGATGTGCTAAAATTGAGACTACATATTTTCAGGAGCGATTCTACGGCTAAAATAAGAAAAAGAATTGCAGATCCATCTCAGTTTTCTATTAATTCGTGAAACTTTATTGCCCAAGAAAAGCTATTTTCCACATCGAGTATATTGAAATCTGAACAGCACCTATAAAAAGGGCTGGAAAAATTTAAATTCCGTCACTTTGAATTCAACAGCGGCTATACACTCAGTAGAAAAGTGCAAAAAAACTGTCGAGCTTTTCTTTATCGCTAAATGTGACTAAATGCAAAGGGTAGTTGTGCCTATGTGGGTGTGCTACAAATTTTACAACGCACTTTCATACAACTGTGTTGCAATTCAATACAATATAGAGATGAATTGTTGAATTTTGTTGACCGAAGGGTTGACGTTGCCTCTACCAGAGAGTTTATTTAGTGTTTAAACCTTGATTTGAAACAAAATGTTGTCAAGTGTCAATTTTTTTTGTGTCAATTGACCAGTCAATTGATTGAAATAATTAAAAAAATACAACGAAATTTATATTTATTTATTAATACTTATTTATATTGTGCGTTAGGTCGCCGTCGCGTCGTTCTGAGAACTAAATGGAATGGATATTTTTATTGGGATTCCCGGAATCTCCTAAGTATCGTATTCGGGTATTCCTTGAAGAGGGTTATAGGTAAATTTGATGTCACAAACGCATAATAATTTATTGTAAAATACATATTAATATTAAATAATGATAGATAAAACTCTACAATTGCAAGATGTTATTTAACACATTTTGATCGAATTTTACTAGTCAATGAAGAAGACCAGCCCCAACACTATGTGGAAGCATTATTGTAATGATTTCGGTAACTTCCAATTTGAGTTTTTGGTTTCTTGTGATCCAAGTTTTATATGTTTTCGTTTACAGAATTTCCCTGTTTTGATATCATTTTCTAATTAGTGTGAATTTTTACCGCTTGCTATGTTTATTGTTAAGAACAAACATATGTTTCAGTATCTGACAAAAATCACAAAAATATGTTTAAGTTTAAAAAAATTCGCGATTGACGCTAACTCTAACGCTATCCTTCGCTGTCATGTTATCATATCGTGCAAAAGCTCTTTCAAAAAGTGCGCAACTAAAACGTTTAAATTGAAAAGCAGTACATTTTTATCAAAGGACTCCACCAATTGCGTCCCCGAACGGACATTTTTTGGTTCTTCGAGCCGGATATTTCATTTTTGCTCCTTCGAGCTGGTTAATGGATAATCCATTCAGTTCATTCGCTAATTGTGTCGGTAGTATTTGCAAATGCAATTAAACATCGCCACGCAACAAGTTCGTCACTCTTTGCGTCAAAGTGAAGTAAGTCGCGATTCAAAATTGGCTCGGACAAAAGCAGACAGCTTTTCAATCCCCCCAGAAAGAAGACAGCCGGCTTTCAAAAAACCTCCCGAATTAAGACAAATAATTTGTTCGCATTTGTACAAGTGCGCAAATAAAACGTTTAAATTGAAAAGCAGTTCATTTTTTTTGCTTACGCACAAAATACAAAATATTGAAAAAAGAAAACCGTTAGTATAGTAAAGGCATGACCAATCGATGTAGAATTAAATTATGCGTAGCACCATACAATAATACACAGTATTTGAAAGAAACGAAGTTCAGAAATGATGCAATTCGTTACTAATTTCGAAAGCAAAAGGAAAGAAGTGTATTTCGCTTACCACACACCTCAGACATGAGTAAAAATTGTTTGGCAGTGTTTAACATTTTTACAATAATCAAAATATCCAAGATTGACATTAAGTGTAGGGAAACACAATGGAACCCACCATAAAAATTTCTCTTTAGCGTTCCATTTAATTAGGAAGTTAGGTTGCGAGATTTAGGAGATACCATGTATAATGTTAACTATTTTCATTGCATTCTTATATGGACATATAACAGAATACCGCATTAATGAGCTACCGTGTATAACTTCGATTGCTACGAACCACTAGTTGAATGGAAGGAGGTATCGTTGAGATTTTAATGCCGTTTACATCTATCGATTCCCTGCTACAGACAAAATTAAAGTTAAAACATAGCGTGATGTCATCGCCACTCTGGGCAATAATCTCCCTTCCGAAATCAAGGCGAGGTAGAACGCGTGCATCATTATGTTTTTCACGTTACAATGCTTTCAATTTGTCGCAACGCATACCATTATAACTAAGTTGCCTCATTCCGAGGCTGAATCGCCGATTATGAAAACAGTTTGTTTCGATGTTTATATTTGCAACGCCCACGCGAGATATACGGACTACATCATCCGTGGCGAAAAAATAATGCTGACTGCCGGAAGAACTTCAATAACGTAGCATTTTGGAAAAAGGTAGAAAATAAAAAAAGGCAAACAGGCTGTACCACCCCGCAAATTCTAGTGTTGGGGCTGGTCAATTGTCCACTTCTTATTTGACTAGTTAAATTTAATCAAAATGTTTTAAATAACAATTGTAGAGTGTTATCTATCATCTACCCGAATACGATAGTTAGCAATTTAGGGAATCCCAATAAAAATATCCGCTCCATTTAGTTCTCAGAATAATACCCTACGTAATTCAGAACAATTTGCATATTTGTGACTATGAAGGTGGACTGATAACTGGAAGATCTTGAAAAACGCGCAGTTATAAAATACTTTCATTTAACGGGTTTAATGGCTTCTCAAATAAAAGAGGAGAAAGATAACACACTGAAAGACTCCTTGCCATTATATTCAGTGGCTAAAAATAGGTCGTTAATTAACACTGCTAAAAATCAAAAACAGTGGAGAGTAACCGGTGAACCAGCTGCAATAATTCTTACTGATTACCTTAAGCGTCTAACCGTCAATGGCGAGTACTATGCATATTCGTTTTATCCATTGAGCCAACAAATAAAGAATAAACGACATTTGGCGACCATGGCAGTGGACCAGCACATTCGTCAATCGTTGCATCAGCTCAAATTCACGAATTAAAGTTGGAATTGCGTCCTCGTCCACCTTACTTGTCTCCAGCAACTACGCTCTTTTCCCTAAGCTCAAAAATTGGTTTGGTGAAAGACTTAAGATCAACGGAGAAGGTATAAGACCACCGATATGAAAAGATGTATTACTCTTTTTTGGGGCGATGTTGAAAACTAAAGCAAAAATTAAATAACAACGTTGTTTTTATTGTCATTCTCGGGACATATCAGCTCACCATATGTAGGTAAATCATTGTCTGTATGTTCTGCGTTCTAGCTATTTCTTGGTTTATTAGAAAATGACATTTTGCATGGGTCTGATAAATATCTATGCTAACAGTCAACCCTCCTTCTATGGAGATATCTATACATTACCTAGGAGAAGCATCACGATCTTTGATTTATTAAAAACAAATCTATGGAAGTAAAATTTTAAAAATTTGATTTTTCAGATGTGAAAACTGTGGCAAACAGCGATCGCCAACGAAGTATGACGTTCTGGTACTGCAAAGGCGGTCGTGTCCATTTACCGAATTTCGACTTCCACTTCTGAACGTCAACCCGCCAAGATGGCGGCGACGGTGCGTCGCCACGCGGGAGCTAACGATTCCGCTGAAGACGACATCGCTGCGATCGCAAAACAAATTTCCGACACCGCGGAGGTGATCTACCAGAACTGGAAGTCAAGGAATTTGGCACCTGCCGATTTGATCACGTGCCACGGTGCTGGTGACACGTCCAAGTTGGGGTACGTTTCCGTAAATTCTTATTTAAGAGAAAGTATGACCAGTCCAGTCCTTACTTTTTTATTTACCTTACTATTATTATTTGCTAATATATTTTGTGAGGCCAGTATACTAGTTTGCAGATTGCTAGCTAGCATTGCGTCCCGCACCGTAAGACTTTTATGTTCGGGTCGATGACGTGATGATATTTTTTAGTCGACCTCAGGAAACATCTCGAGGGTCTGTTATCTGAAATCCATGCTTTTCATTGGTGTATATTTCTTTTACTTTGTGTACTTGAATTGATGATTATTGAAAAATAATTAATGTAAGATGTTTATAAACAGTGGCTATATATACCGGGTATACCAAATTAAGATCGCACTATTGCCTGTACACTTGTACACGCACGAGCACTAAGAATGAACACCATAAAACGCAGACACACGAGCATTAAGAATGGCAAGCATATTTGAATCTGCGTAAAGAAAAAAAGAAGTCGGTAGAAAAGATATGTCCACCAATGTTCTTGCAATATCGAAAATTCATATTAAAGTAGAAGAATGATGTTTTTGAAAACCTATATCAGTGATTTTAAAACGTTTCAATTTCAAACAACACAGGAAAATATTAACTTGATATTTGGGTCACTGGTTTATTTGGAAAACTTGCATTGCACGCTCAGAGTAATTGTACCTTTGCCCAGCGATTACTTCCGCTTTTTTTCTAATGGTTTTACCGAAATATCCGAACATTTTTCTTCATATTTTCACGTTTTAATGGCTCGATTTCTGGCCTATCCAAATGTAGTCGCCTATCTAAATCTGCGATTTGATTAATCGAAACATCAACCGCATAAACTCCTGTCGGACAACATCCTGGACGTGAGTTTATTTTAAGACACGGCACCACCGCGTTCTATATCCAGAGTCTAGTCTTTGGGTTGCCGACATCACGCGTGATCTTTATCCGCGAACCTTCCTCTTCTTCTCGATAATCACTCGGCCATTTCGCGTTTGTTTGGCTATTTGAAAAATAGAGATTCCTGGCCGTTAAAATCGCGTACAGGGAAGCCGTTATAATAGTGTTTCGTGTAAGAATTTGTGAAACGCGTGTACCGCAAAAGTGCTAAAAATAAACTGAACGCGTGCGTTAAGGACCGCGTATAAAAATAAAACCGAATGAGGATGGAGACGGAGGTGAGAGGGAAATGTCGATCCGTTTTCAATTTTCGGACACAATCCGTTTATCGATACGCTGATTGCAGTATGCAAGGAGATGAGGGCTCTGCAGAGTTTGAGATTTGAAGGTTTAGTTAATTTTTTTGCGATACAATTGTTCTTCCAGCCTTCTTTTTGCGACGGCCAAAGCTTTCGATTTCATTAGTCATAATATAGATTATTGGTCAAACAATTTTGTTCGCAGGTGATACCCTAATACTCCTGAATAGTGTCAAAACAGTTAGTAGATGTGAAAAATATAAAGAAACAGCAGTATCTTGATATGTAATTGCCAAAACTAGCGGACTTACTTTTGCTCAAGACTACATACACAAAATTTTGTGGTTGAAACCACATTATGTTCATTCAATAGTGCTACATAAAAAAAGATAACTTTATGTGTTAATATGTCCCAATAACTATTACCTAGAAGGTGAAACAAAAAGTAGTGCCCGCAATATGTACAATTGTCTGTGTAGTTTCACATTAAATGCCAAATAGAATACATTTGTGAGTTTTTAAAAATGATTTCATCTATTTGTAGAGCTTTTCTTTGTTCCCTTTAGTCTTTGCGTCTAGCATAGAAATTAAACCGAACGGCATTGAACTGCATAACTTTTTATTTATTATTACTAATTCCCCATCTTTCATTAAAACTGTAACCGTTAAGTTGTTGACTCCAAACGCTATGTACCACAGCAGGAAGATAGTGTCACGTTTTAATTGCTATTAATGACAAAAATAAAGGCCATTAGTGTCCATAACGTAAATGAAGTTACAGTTCCTTAGTCCGCCGTCGAGGCTGCCATAAAGCTTGATGACAGGTTAATTTTTGCAACAATTTACACAAAGTTGGTTACTCAGTTGAATTCCGGTATTTACTGGCTCAGTTTGGGATTTTGTTTTCGATTAGTTTCGGTCATATGAAAGACTCATGTTGCGTTGATAATAATTTGGCTCGAAGGGTAGATTCGAGCAAGTTCTAATTCTAAAAATCGTTAACATTTACTATAGGGTTACTCACAGACAATGCTAGAAAGTATGATGAGAGGATTATATTTACGAATGATTCTGAGCAAGAGAGAGAATTTATACATGTAAAAAATGACGTGCGCTTTTATAGCTTTGCGAATGGGTATGCTTTAAAACCAGAACACCACCATATCACCATACGCATACAACCGGGTGAGGTTTCTCAGAAGCATTGTATTGCCTGCCTTTTGGAAGATGAATTGCATAAAATAACATATTTATTTGAATATCTTGGACCTATGCAGTTTCTTGCGATCTTAGTTGCGATGCATACATGTTTTTTTTTTGTTCGTTAAAGCGTCGCTTCAGTTTAGGAAATCCAGACAGTAAACTTAATTAACTTTAAATTTAATCACCGATCTTCACCGTCCCGTTTATTTTTCTTTCGGCGTTCAATTTCAATCGTTGCCGAAAATATTGTAAAATATATGAGATTCGCAACGCTAAGCGGCCTTCAGCGTGTTCTTTATTCGATTTAAACAAATAATAATGGATATATTTTCGCAAGCAACATATACAGTGTTATTGCGTTGGCGTCGATCCAAAACGTCGGGAATCTCCGCATATAAAATATGCGGCGAGTGTTGCCAAATTTACGCACGCTGATAACTGATCTGTGCTGATTGAAAAGCTCATGTTTTTTTTTATAATGTTTTTTACATAATTAATATATTAACTATAGAAAAACGGAAAATAATGCAGCCCGTTGAAGAATAAAGAAAAGTAACTTTATTTGCTAGAAATTTTAAAAGCAATTGTGGAAATGAGTAGTTCTCGAAAGTTCTCTTAATAGGCTTAACGTTTTTCCCAAACCGCAGCAGTAAAATTACCAAGTAATATTAAGAATGGTTTCTCAACTTTTTTTTCTTATTAGTTCCAATTTTGGTCACTAAGCTAAATAGTAAATTGTAACAGTCAGGAAAAAAAATTGAAGCAAAGTCACAGTGTAAAATAGTATTTATTTGGTGAATTTCATATTTGTTTATAAGTGACATCCTATACCCGGTGTCCCATAAGGCAATATGTCATACTATAAATCAAAATAAACTGATTTGTTATAAAAATGTGTTAGTCATTAAAATAATTGCAGATGATTTTTCGAGAAATTATGCAGTAATTTTTACACAATTCAAATGCGGTATTAGTATACTTTTCACAAAACTTCTGGATTCCTCCTGCGTCGGTTTTTGTTGAGTCGAACTTGCGGACGTTTCGCCGATCATCCTGTTGGCTTCTTCAGAGCTTGACTGAAACTGACCTGTATTTTACTCTGTACCTGCATATATATTGTTTGAGGGAGGCGGAGCTAAATGAGCGGCATAAACACCGTCTCGGATGACTGATTCCCATATTGGTGACAGGTAGAGACCTGAATCGCAATTAAGATTGTTAGGTTGTTTATAGATTTCTATAGACTCTCTGATTTTTCGTTGGTAGAAGAATGCGAGAATTTTAGTTTTATCGAATAAAATATTATGTCCAGTTTCGTGATTGTGTTCGGCAACAGCTGATGAGTTTATTTGTCTTAGTTGTGTTTTTGAGCCTAGTTGATATTTTTCGTCCGGTCTCCCCAATGTATTTTTTGCCGCATATGCATGGAATGCTGCAAACTCAAATGGAATTTTATCTTTGACGGACCGAAGATGTTGAGAGATTTTTGGACAAGTGGTAAATCTGGTTTTGGCATTATACTTCTTTAGAACTATTGATATGTGGTCAGTGATCTTTTGAATGTAAAGAAGGATCACAGTGGAAAGTGTGATTGCTTTCGGTCTCATTGCTATTGGAAGGTTGTGGTGAAGTGTATTTTGTGATGGAACGCTTAATATCTTTAATGGGGAAATTATTAAAGAGAAGAGCAGAGGAAAGGTGTTTTAATTCTGGATTCACTGGCTCGGGCTGAGATAGTTTTACGGCTCTGTAAATAAGAGAGTTGATAACCGATGATTTTTGGGCCGGATGGTGATGTGACCATGCATTAAGGTATCGATCTATTGATAAGAATATCTAAGAATGGAAGGTTATTATTAGTCAATGGTAAAACGTATGTTAGGGTGCATAGAATTTAAATGTCTAAGAAAATCTACTAGGGTTTCTTGACCACGAGGGCCGTCATTTAGCTCCGCTCCCCTCAAACAATATATAAACAGGTACAGAGTAAAATGCGAGGCAGTTTCAGTCAAGCTCTGAAGAAGTCAACAGGATGATTGACGAAACGTCAGCAAGTTCGACTCAGCAAAAACCGACGCAGGAGGAATCCAGAAGCTTTGTAAAAAGTATTACAGTGGAAGTTTCTTTGAAAAATTAACAACCCTTTATGAGAGGACATCAAGCGCGGTATTAGTATGAATTTAATTGACACTTAATGATTCATTAAAAAAAATCTCCTCTGAACCCTGAGTCCGCGCGTGTAATTTGAAAGAAATTTAAATAATCCTTCAATCATGTTCCGTCTTCGAACGCTTTCTACAGCCTAGACCAATATGAAGCAATTTTGCAAATAACGTTGGTAAAACAAATGTCCGTAATACATATACACTTACGCTTACACTTTGTTATAAAACCACATAAATGTACCAAATAATCCGCAATTAAAACAATGTTTATCAGATATAATAAAAGCAACTTAATGAAATGAAGAAAATTTTCAGTAATTTATTAGCCTGATAGAGTTCTCCAAACGATATACCGTTTCTACAACCTTTTATGATTTTGACTTCAGCATGAGTTAGCCGATATATTAGTGTGCTTTTTATACATCTTCCTTAAGG